CCTCCTCCCCACTCCATGTTCCGGCACCCAACAACAATGATCACAGCCACTGTTTTCTGTTACCCAATTACTGTTTGTTTTTGTTTGGTAGGTTGGTTTTGGTTTTGTTTTTTGGAGGGAGAGGGGGTGTGGTTTGTTGGAGTAAAGAGAAGCACATCCACACAACAATGGTCATTTAGAGCTTTGGAAAGCATGTTTTAGTTTTAGTAAGAGTTTACAGCATTTGCAACACAATAAGGTCATATAAGCGCCGAAGAATAGAGGTGTTACAAGAGAGTAACATACACAAAAAAGAAGGAGGAGAGATAAGGACAATAGAGTGGCGCCCTCCAACCACCCACAAAGACAGAAACAACAGAGGGAGAGAAAAGAAGTAGGACCTACCAGTGACACCCTCCAACCACCCACACAGACAGAAACAACGGAGGGAAAGTAAAAAAAGTGGCACCCTCCAACCACCCGCATCAATTACTGTAAACTGTAAAACATCACTTAGCTACAGCACTAGGCCCCACTGTGACCGCCCTCCCCTCCTCCCCCCCCCACCCCCATGAGGTGAATCCTGATCGGCGCAACAGGTCAAGAAAAATACGAGAGGGGGGGGGGGGGTAATAACTTGACTTTTACTGATAAGACAATAACAAATGCTAGTTGGCATGAAACCTGGAAGTCCTTAAACCAAAGATTCTAATCTTTGCTTAAACTGCAGTACGCTGACGACCATCAACACTCCCCTCCCTCCCCCTCACCCCAACCAAGAAAATAAAAATCCCCCAATCCCTTCATCCTTTCTCCTCTCTCTCCCCCAGTCCCGTATCTGATAAAGACAACAAGTGGAGACCAGGTCGAGGCCAAACGACAGAGTGTCTGGCTAGGCCACTGGACTCAAATTGTTCGCTTTATTTAAACACAAGGGGGCTATCCCAAAAAATGTGAGGCGTGCTGACAACAGGAGTTACTTCTCAGATTTTAGCCCAATGGACATAGATACGTCAGATTTATTGGTTGAGTTTATACAATGTATGTGTATGAAATGACAAAAGAAATGTTAAACTTGAAGAAAATGGCATCCGCTAATGATCTACAAATTTGACCCCTGTGTTGATTTTTGTCCCATATCTCCATTCGTGGACTGCGAGAAGTAACTCATTTAGTCAGCATGCTTCACAAATGCTGTTTTGGGGAAATTGAAGGTAAAGTTTGTGCCCCTTGTTCAGTTCCTTTAAAAGAAGATAGAGAGTCTTCTCTATAATCAAACAAATCTACACACAACTGAAACCAAACTTCTCCTATAGGTAGGGCAATGCCCACTTTTGGTGTGGGTCAAGATTTCAGGAAACCCCCGAAATCTGGGTTAGCCCGCTGGTCCTTAACCCTATCCGTACGCCCTGTGGTCATTTTGTACCCCCGGGGTTGTATTCTTCACATTTTAGAATACTTCTAGTACGAAGATCTCTTTGAAACTTTCAGTATTTCTCAAAAAAATCATTTGGACAGACTGCTATGCAAAGCGTACGGATTAGATTAACGGGTAAATTTCCTCTTTGGAAAGTGGTGGCACAGAGTTCCCCTCCCCACGTCGTATAGATACGATAGTAAAACACGACGTACAGATAAGGTTAAGTGGTGGCAGAGAGTTCCCCACGTCGTTTGGATACGATAGTAAACCACGATGTACGGATAGGGTTAAGTGGTGGCACAGAGTTCCCCACGTCGTAAGGATACGATAGTAAAACACGACGTACGGATAGGGTTAAGTGGTGGCACAGAGTTCCCCACGTCGTATGGATACGATAGTAAAACACGACGTACGGAGAGGGTTAAAAGCGACCAATTGACACACCAACCCCCCCCCCCCCCCCCACACTCGTCTCACGCGCTGATCAACACTGGGATGTCGGGTGAATTTGACTGGGGGGGGGGGGGGGGGGGCGAAATGTGTAACAATATCGCCACCTCAGAATTACAAAGTTTTATCTGACATTTCTGGCCGTTTGGAGTTATAATATTGGCCATGGGGTCAGAAAGTAAATGTTCTATCTGCCTGCTCTATCAAAATTGTAAGATTATTCTGAGTCGCTGTCAACATATTCAATTCAGAGAGTTGCATTTGAAAAACTTGAAATATTGTAAAAACCTAAACATGTTGTTCGTCAAATTTCTCAAAAACTAGGTACTGAACAGATGAAACTTTGTCATTCAGAGGTAGCTATATTATGTCGCAACCTCAGCATTACAATTAGAAAGTTCTATCTGCTCAGTAGGGAATACCTAGTCTTGAGAAATTTGACTGTCCAAAATGTTGTGTTTTACAATATTTCAAGCTTAGTAAGAGTTTAAGTTTAGTTTTAGTAAGGAGGCTCTCGTGGCCTAGAGGTTAAGGTGTTGGCCTCTCATTCAAAGGTCCCGGGTTCGAATCCGGGTAGCGACCGAAAAATGTTCTCTAAAATTGTCTCCTTTCACCTCCTTTCCTGCTCTCTAGCAATATTCTGTCGTCTGTTTCGTCTCCTCTTTCTGCCCCCACCCCCTCACCTCCTTTGCCCCCTCCTCTGGGATCCTGACTCTTTCTGCAGCCTTTCTACTGCTACTCCTTGGCTCCTCCTTACTGCTGTCTTTCTGACACACCCCTGATCTTCCGGTAGGACAGATCTACACCTAACCTTCTCGGACAAGAGCGAAAAATCTCGGAGGGCCCGTGTGCAAGTTGCGCACGTTAAAGATCCCTTCGTGGTCTAAAATCGATAAGAGTAGGCTTCGGCCGCCACCCGGGCAAAATTCAAAATTTCCTACCAACTGAAAATATTAGGTGTGTCCCGCGTGCTCATATGACCTTATGCAGTTGCGAGCGCCGTAAAACACTTTACAAAAACAAACCAAAAAAAAGTTTAGTAAGGTATTTACGGCACTTGCAACACAATAAGGTCATATAAGTGCCGAAGATTAGAGGTGTTACAAGAGAGTAACAAACGCAAAAAAAGAAGGAGGGGAGATAAGGACGATAGATGTTTGACAGGAAAGAAGAAGCAAACACACCAGAGCTCCCGTCAACCACCCACTAGTAAGAGATTTACGGCACTTGCAAAACAAATACGTCATAGAAGCGCTGAAGATTAGAGGCGTGACTGGAGAGAAACAAACAAAACAAAACAACAACAAAAAAAAGAAAAACGAAAAGGAGGAGAAGACATATTGGAGTTGTTGGCAGGTCTAGTGAAGAGACTATCATTATAACATTATTTTTTTTAGTAAGAGTTTTACGGCACTTGCAACACAATAAGGCCATGTAAGTGCCGAAGATTAGAGGTGTTACAAGCGAGTGACAAACACAAAAGAAGAGGAGGAGGAGAAAAGAGGACGATAGATGTTTGATAGGAAACAAGGAGAAAACCACACCAGAGCACCCGCCAACCACCCACTCTAGTGAAGAGACTGGTTCCCCTCAAATGATAACATCTCCCACAGCTGTTATCAAATGCAATAACTCTCCCCCCCCCCCCTGTCACAGGGAGGAGGTATGACATCAGCATTTTGTGACAGCATCATTAACACATTGAGGATGAAACGTGACACATTATTACACGTCCGACCGGTGGCGCAGACAAAAAGCGAAACTTCAGCAGCGGCACTTTTCGAGACATTATACAGAACAAAAGAACAAGAATTTTAGTTTCATTAAGAGTTTTATGGAACTAGCAGCACAATTGGGTCATATATGCACAGAAGATTAGAGTTTTAGTATTTTTGTTTTAGTAGAGGTTTTGCAGCGCTTGCAACACAATTAGGTCATATAAGCATCGAATATTAGAGGTGTTACAAGAGAGTTACAAACACTAAAAGAAGAAGAGGAGATAGAGACAGTAGATGTTTGATAGGAAAGAAGAATCAGACCACACACCAGAGCACCCGCCAACCACCCACCATTATTATACGTCCAACAGACAGAAGACAAAAGGCGAAGCTTAGGCGGCACATTTTGAGACATCACAGAGAACGAAAGAACACGAGTTTGTATGGTAAGTTGGATTTAGTAAAGAGCTTTGCGCCACTTGCAATGATCGCAATTAGGTCATATAAGTGCCGAAGATTAGAGGTGTTACAAGAGAGTAACAAACACATTCAAAAAAGTAGAAGCAAGGACAGACAATATTATAAGTACTATAGATGTTTGATAGGAAAAAAAGAGCAAAAACCGCACCTGAGCACCCTCCAACCACCCACTTGCACAGTTAAAAAAGTATCGGTACACAATATGCAGCTGATTGCCCTTTTTGGGTTTCAGAATTTTAGTTTAGTTTTAGTAGAGGTTTTATGGCGCTCGCAACTGCATAAGGTCATATGAGCGCCAGAATAGATTAGAGGTGTTACAAGAGATTAACAAACATAAAAAAGAAGAAGGGGAGATAAGGACGATAGATGTTTGATAGGAAAGAAGAAGCAAACCACACCACATCACCCTCCAACCACCCACTCAGATTTTTACAATCAGTAGTGAGGAATCTGTGAGAATACCAAAGTTATGCTTCGCTGTCGTCGTACGCCAAAAACATCGCATCATACCGCCGTACTGAAGTTGTGGAAGGAACAGAATGCCTGTCCTCGGTGAGATCAAGTCGACATTTACACTGTAAGTTACAGACACCATGATGATGGTTGCAGCTGCCACTAAGGTTGAAGGTTTTTTTTAAGTTTTAGTAAAAGTTTTATGGCGCTCGTAACTGCATAAAGGTCATATGAGCGCCAGTAGATTAGAGCTGTTACAAGAGAGTAACAAACATTAAAAAAAGAAGGTGAGATAAGGACGATAAATGTTTGATAGGAAAGAAGAAGCAAACCACACCAGAGCACCCGCTAATGTTGAAAGTGACCACAAAAAAACAACAACACCAACAACAAAACAACAAATTCGACGCCTGTCCTCTCATCCCCTCTTCCCACTTTTCCACACAATATACTCACACACACATGCACGCACACATGCGCGCGCACACACACACACACACATGCACCCACAAACACATGCACCCACACACACATGCACGCACACACACACACACACACACACACACACACACGCACGCACACACACACACACACACACACACACACACACACACGCACATACACACATATGCACAATACACACACACACATGCATATCTGCACAATACACATACACACACACATGCACACACATACACACACACACACACACACACACACACACACACACACACACACACACACACAAGACAAAAAAACTTACCTGTATTCTCTCTTTCTGAACCCCAGAGGGTGCAATGTAGATTTCTTTGCTGTTAAAAAAAAAAGAAGAAAAATAGACAGAGTAAGACACTGGAAGAAAATGCCACAAAGTTGTTAGAAAATGTAAGGAATATGAATTTCTGGATAATAATAAAAATACCCTCAAACTTAAACTTGGTTGTTTAAAACAAAGATTTTTACAAGGGAAGCCCAGCATATTGGATGAATGTATAAATTTAGTACAGGATATGAATTTATAGGTAATCATAATACATTGTACCCTCAAATCTAAACTTGACTGTTTTGTTTGGGTTTTTTTATTTTAAGGAAGAGTAGCATATTGGAAGAATGCCTAAATTTAGTACGGGAAATCAATTTTTGGGTAATAATAATACACAATGTACTAATACCCTCAAACCTAACCGTTGCTGTTTAAACAAAAAGAAAAAGAATTTAAAAAAGGAAGAGTTGCATATTGGATGAATGCATAAATTTAGTACGGGATATGAATTTATGGGTAATAATAATACGCTCAAACCTAACCTTTGCGGTAAAAAAAAAAAAGAATAAAAAAGGAAGAGAAGCATAGATCGCTATTTGAAGAGTAGCATATTGGATGAATGCTTAAATTTAGTACAGAATATGAATATACGGGTAATAATAATACTCTAAAAGCTAAACTTTGCTGTAAGGGAAAAAAATGGCAGGATAACATATTATTGGATGGACATATAAATTTAGAACAGGACATGAAATTATGGGTAATAACACATGTTAGTATCATCAAACCGAAACTTCGCTGTTTAAAAAAAAAAAAAAAAAAAAAAAAACCAACGCAGGGTTACATATTGGAATAACACACATAAATTTATCAGTAAATGTAAGGGATGTGAATTTCTGGGTACGTATTTTTAAAAATACAGCGAACTTACATTTGTAGAGTTCATTGATAGCATAAATTCATAGTCCATTTTCTACGCTCACATCGACACAATTTAGATCTTGATGGCAAAAAGAAAATATCCACTCCTGTTTCAAAGAAGTTAGCCCAGCATCGCATGTACTGCACTGAGCAGTAATCCTAAATCAGGTTTGTCAACTTTTAAAAAACCCAATCAGTTTTAGTTTGTTATTAAGAGTTTTACGGCACTTGCAACACAATTAGGTCATATGAAGTATAAGTACTGAAGATTAGCAAAGTTACCAAATAGATAGTAACATATAAATAAAAAAAGGAGGAGAGACAAGAGATGATAGATGGTTGATAGGAAAGAAAGAGCAAACCATAGCAGAGCACCCCCCAACCTCCCACCCAATCAGTTTGTCTGAGTAAAGAGAAGCACATCGACACAATAATGATCGATTAGTTTAGGGAAACAGTAAAACAGACAGACAGAAACAACAGATGGAAAGTCAAGAACTCAAGAACTATATAGGACCTACCAGTGACACAATCCAAACAAAACAAAAAGAAACAGAAAAACACAAGCGCACACACAAACATTGACAACAACGACACCAAAAAGAAACCCTTAGAGCAAGCTGGAAAAAATATTAAATTAAAAAACCAAAAAAAAAGTAAAAAGAAACAAAAACAGAACCAATCAAAAAGCACAAGCAAAATAAAACCAAAAAGAACCTACCCCCCCCCCCCCAACCCCCCTGTACAAAATAAAAGGGTACTCTTTTCACCTAAAGCGAGGCAAATGAATACGCTTTTATTAAAGACAAGACCAATAACTCCTTTCATGTGGCCAAAAATTGAGGAACGTTTGATTTCAGCTTGTCGCTACATATAAATCAATCTTTACTATTATTTATCACTGTGATTATCATCATTATTTATCATCATTACTACTCACCCTTGCTTTATGCTGACGCCTCCACCAGTGCCCGTTACCCAGCCTAAGTCGTAGAACTGACGGCACAAAGAAGGGATCAGCTTCCTTGGGTGTTCCTGGGGAAGACCATCAAAATTATATAATGACTAGCTGGACCCCCGTTCGATGAAAGGAATGATCGGTGCATTAACATCATCTGTAAGTCATTGGCCTACTATATTTACACTCTACTGGAAGGGAGCAATAAATCTTGAGAGATTTAAAAAATTAGAAGTTCTAGATATAGAGAGGTACAGATTGTTTCTCTATTCCGCTTTCATGGTTGTACACTCCAGAAGTTCAAAGGTGAAGAATCAGTGCCGCACGGCTAGTGAACGGAAACCCCACTTGTTTACAAGGGTGTCTTAGAAGATGGATTTTCCCAAGATTTGATCTAAATCTAAACAAAAGTAATGAAAAACAGAAAATTAAACTACAGTGACTTCAGACTCCTCAGTAAAACTGTGCACCCTTTAAATGAGTCTGAACCACCGTTAATTTGTTCAAATTCGAAAGTTGAGTGGTTCCGAAGTTTTAGGCCACCAAAGTGACGAACTTTCACAAATATTTATAAGACGTAGAGATTATTGCAGGAAGCTTTTACAGAAAGAAAACTTTGGCATTTGTGGTATAGCGGTTACAATGCATTTTTCTGTTGCATGTAAAGGACCGTTGACAAATTATGTCAGCTCGGGGGGGAAAGGGGGGGGGGGCCTTCCTTACAAAGTTGACGTCAACCATGATGCTCTGAACGGTTGGGAAGAAAAGAAAAGAAAGGAAGAAAAAATATTATAGACCACATTTTTTGGGCTAAAATTAACAGTTACATTGAACCAAATTGATTGATTTATTTTTACCAAGCAGACATGATACTCTTATCTATTTTTTTGCTTTGTTTATTTTCCAAGCTGCGATATCCAATCTATTTGTTTTAAAATTATTTTGATAAGTTAAAGTTGTTAATAAATAATTTGACAGTTCAGGTATTTCTGTATTGTATTTTTATAATAGTTTATATTTTTTAATTTTAAAATAAAGATCAACGGTGTAAATATAAAATGCATCCTGTACAGGTTGTATACATGTGCACATGTACATTTTGATTGACGTCAGCTAGAGGTAGGCGGGGGTCCTCGGCAAGATGACAGAAGATGACAAGAGGGGAGGGGGGGGGATCATTTTTGGGGCAAAATTTTAGCTGATAATGTCTTTTGTGAACAGTCCCTAAGAGACCCGACTTTGATTCCTGGGTGCGGAGACAATTTTTATCGAGAGTATCTCTCCCTCTTTCTGAAGAGATTTTGTATCCCTCACAGCCCAGGTTGGTCCTGTCAGACACGGATGGAAGCCCGCCTCCTAAATGATCTTAATTAATTGTGTCAATATAGGTGTAAAACATCTGCATTAACATTTCAATTTAATTTATGAGTGAAAACAAAGAGCCTGTATTCAATTTAAATCAATATGATTGTTATTATCTTATAAATTATCTGAAACTTTCTCAGAGTAATGATAAAAGCAAAGCCTGTAGAATTTGTGTGTGAGTGAGGAACAAGTGAACAAGTACAGAGTCGAACCTGTGTAAGATGAAATTGTACGGGAGCCAGAAAAAACATTCTGTCTTAGACAGGGGAATTTAGAAGGGGGGGGGGGGTTCAAAGGCCCAACCCGTGGGATCAAGGATCGCTTGTCCGATCGGAAAGCAGTGGTCAAAACTTCACACCTCTCAATTGCTATCCTGTATGATAATGACACGTGTCAGTCTTACTTATCCAAATACCACCAGTTAGACCTATTAAAAACAGAAACATTTGAACACCTCCTTTACTTCCACCCTTAGCCCCATCCATCGGTGTAACAAGCACAGTCAACCAATGCCACCCCTCACTGCCATCATGTAACAACGATTCGAGGAACTCTTTTCTCGGCTGGCCGTACAATCAGGGCGGCAGGCATTGATAAATCTAATTTCACACCTCTAGCTTCTGGATACCCCCAGGAAAGTTTCTGTAGTGGCTCGGTACTCGAGCACTCTAACGGGCAGTCGTGAGATTTCACACCCACACCACCCTGACCATCTGCATCACTCAGGGCTCACATGATGGGGTAATATCTACCCCCAAATTGCACCCCTAAGTTCCCCTTCCTCGCCCAGCGGCATGGCCATGGCGGTAAGTTTAGAGCCGGAGGAACCAAACAACTTGCGAGTTTTGTTTCATATCAGAGCTCAGCAGGCAAAGCATTTTCCGTCTTAGGTGAAACCCTAGGAAGGAAGCGGATTTTTCTTTCCCTTTATAGGCGTTGGACAGATTTCCGTTTTAGACATACCAAGCTTCTGTCAACGTTTGTTTCTTGTTGTTTTTAGGGCGCTCCCTCGTTTCCGCCCAACTCATAGTTCTCATGCCTCAGTTACCTTTAGGCTCTCTCTTTCTCTTTCCCCTCGCCTGCGTTTAAAGGGATTTTTTTTGTTTTTTCCCTTGTCCAATTTTGCCCTCTCTTCTCCTCCGTCAGCCAAACCGATAAGGTGGGAGAAAGAGGGGGGGGGGAACGGGGGGGGGGGGAGGAGAAATTTTTTTTTACAATTTCCGGGTGGGGCAAAAAAAAGTGGGGCCAATTTTTCCAATCCCCCCCCCCCCCCCCCCCCCACAAACAAAACCAAAAAAAAAATTTTTAAACTTGACACCCGCTTTTAAAACTCTCCTCGACAATGGATTGCCGACCTAGCCAATACCTACTAGATCTAGATTCTAGATCTATATCTATATCTAGATCTACATCTAGATTCTAGATGTGTACTTACATCGTCAAGTTCAGCAAAATCTGTGCCATCAGTAGAAACATCAGTATTAGCGGGGCGCTTCGGCATTTTCGACAAAAAATCAAAAGAAGTAGCCTACAAACTGCTCAGGCTCAGCGAAAAAATGCAGAAAGTTCCAAACAGCAGAAAAAGCGAGGCCCTACCAAGTCCAAACGTAGAGTTCGGTACTAGATTCTAGTCTAATTTCTTGTGTAACAGCCTGACTACCAAACAAGTTGAGAATGAAGGAGGGCGACCGACGGGTGACTAGCCTAGGCTTGAGGAAAGAGTGAAAGAGAGACCGAGGGCCTGTTAACATCAGATGTTTCCACTTTCCACTCTGGCACTGTTTACTAGTATACTGGGTGTGTTTACTACTTGCTTTCACTTTCTTTCCTTTCACGAAAAAGAGCAGTGATGTACGAGTAATTTTTCGTATTCGATCAAAGATATGCAGGAAAAGGAAGCAACATCAAAAAGAGAATGCACGGCCATGTCACTTTGGTAGGCAAAAAAAAAAAATCGCCATAAGTCTCAACCATGAACTAAAGCCCTCAACTCGTTAAGACTGCAGATTGTGCGAGAGTGTCAGAAAAGAAAATATATGCGACAAATTCTATTTTCCTATTCCTATTCTGTTTTCATACGTTCTATACTTCGAGAAAATAACTGACATAAAGATTAATAAATGGTTTAGGGGGGGGGGGCTACACCTGAAGGCTATCTCGCTTATCAGGGGATCAAATTTTACCAAATTTTGCATATTTAACAAGCATAGTAAGGAGTCAATCTGCAATCAAATTTGAGATAAAAAAAAGTTTCGTTTCCATGGATACGGCGCAGGCCATATTGGATTTTGTTGACATGTCTTACGTAATGAATTCCGCACTTATTTTTTTATGGAAATTGGTTGGGTTGTTGTTGTTTTTTGCATGCATGTTAGCAAACATTAGATCTAAAAATCTGTCTGTTGTTTATTCCTGAACGAATTAGAAAAGTCTTAATGAATTTTTTTCCTGAGGTCTATAGATGTAGTATTCAAGTTAGCGAAATATCCGCAAAAATCACACTCCGGACACCACCAACAAAAGTCTATTCCATATATAAAAAATACAACGGACAAGTTTTTAGTATTACATCTCTTCATTCTGTGAAAATTTCATGAAGATTGGATGAAAATGGTGGAGCTATTCAAAAAAGGGTATGAGAAAACGGCCGATAAAGAAAAATAAAATATTTACTTTATGGTGAAATGGTGGTAACAAACATGCCTGGTATGGAGAAAAATAAGGCTTTTAGGGGTTCTTATGCGATGGAATAGTTGTAGGAGATGCTGAAGAAGCTAAAAATACCTACAACTCAAATCTCAAATTCCATAATTTTGAGCCCCCCTGGCCCCTTTAAGGTATAGTTCGGCTGTAGCCGTTATACCTCTTTGCCTGTAGCCCAAGTCAGAGTGGGGTACAACGTCTTGATGATTGGTACTCTCAAAACTGGTTAAGACGGTTCAAACCTAACTAATGAGTCAAGGGAATAATATATACAGGTGTTCATCTTACACACTGTCAATATTATATCATGTAAAAAAAAAAAATACGAAAGGAAGGAAATTGTTAAGATGGTGTAAAAATTGTAGGCCGCGTCACAGCAAGTGGTGGTCATAGGCTTAAAAGGCGACTGTTGGGGCAGGTTTGACAGTACATGCAAAATCTCATTCTTTAAAGGTGGATCTTTTCATTTTATGCAATCAGTAACATTAAATTATGTCACCTAACAGGGGTGATAAGATAAACCAACTGTAGATTAACATAATTATCATCATCTTCAGTTGTTTTACTCGGCTGGCGGTAGTTGCGTATATATTTCAATCAGAAAGAAAATTAATACTCAGGCCATAATAATTTTAAGTACCA